GGCACCCACTGCATCCACGCATACACTTTACAACGCGAAACGAGGTTCCACATGGGTTTACAACTTTCTACGCAAAGCGAGATTCAATCCAAACCCTATGTGTATAGTTTTTTGGAGCCCCCCGCAGGGTGAACACACTGTCTCCAGATTTTTGATAATAACGGCTAAAATATTGGAGTTAGATAAAATATATATACGACCTTATTTGTAGAGCATTTTATGAGCTTCATTTTTGTTTGACAACTTTTTCCGTACAATAACACTTTCTGAAATAATTAATAAAAACAGTTTTATCTTTGAAGAGGGCTGGGGGGCGGAGGGGGCATTTGCGTCAAAAATCCATTTGGGAATATTATTTACTAGATAAAATAAGTATTTAGGCTGAAAATCAGCCAAATCGGAGGTGATAGCTTTTCAGAAGTTTATCCTAAAATAGTATGATAAAACTAATTCGCGGATTAAACTTTCTTTTTCAATAACGTTTGTGGGAGATTCCTTATAAGGAAAAGGGGATAAAGTTCCGAATAGGTGAAACGCCCGATTTTTTTTAAACTGCACTATTTTATGTATTTTGGCGCGCTGATTACGAATATGATAATGAAAATTGCCGACAAGGTCATTTTCAAGGTCAAAACTCCAAAAAAAGTAAAAAGATATCACTTTTTTGAGATTATTTCGAGAAATATTGATGTAACAAAAAAATGTCTCAAATAAAAGTTGTAGTTCTTGTAAAAATACATTATTTATGTTGTATGCATTTTTTTGTGTAAAACTGATAATTTTCGAGAAAATTGACGTTAAAGATTAAAAACTTTGGTAAACAGGTAGGCCTTAGCTTGCATGCGCATGCCGTTTAAGAATGTAGCGGCGTGTGTGCGTATACAATTTATGTATATTTATTAAATCTTTGCCTTGCTAAAAATCTAATGAGTCTACAATATACTAAAAATACTAGATACTGAAAAGATTAGCAAGACCCCAACGCAAGGTGTGTGCGCGTAGAAAGTTTATATGAATTAAATCTTTGCCTTACTAAAAGTATGATGAGTCTACTATATACTAAAAATTTTAAATACAGGAAAGATTAGCAAGACCCCAACGCAAGGTGTGTGCGCGCAGAAAGTTTATATGAATTAAATCTTCGCCTTACTAAAGGTATGATGAGTCTACAATATACTAAAAATATTTAATACTGAAAAGATTAGCAAGACTCCTACGCAAGGTAGAGAGCATATTGTGTTTGAAAGTTATTTTAAACTTCTATAATAGTGACTAGCCATGTAATAGGCGGAGGGAGGGGCAGAGCCTTATCCCCTGCACCCCCCTCCCGCCTGCACCTTTTTCCCCCTCGGGGGGCTCCGCCCTCCGAACCCCCCGTGTTTCATCCTACTTACCAAAGTTTTTAATCTTTAACGTCAATTTTCTCGAAAACTATCAGTTTTACACAAAAAATGCATAGGACATAAATGATGTATTTTTACAAGGACTACAACTTTTATTTAAAACTTTTTTTGTTACATCAATATTTCTCGAAATAATCTCAAAAAAGTGATATTTTTTCACTTTTTCTGACCTTGTTTTGACCTTGAAAATGACCTAGTCGGCGATTTTCATTATCATATTCGTAATCAGCGCGCCAAACTACATAAAATAGTGGAGTTTCAAAACAATCGGGCGTTTCACCTATTCGGAACTGCACCCGGAAAAGGAATCCAGAATGCACGCGATAAAGAGACGTCCGTATAACGGCGCCGCATCGGCGGCAGCATCACGACGCTGACGTATATTGGGCGGGGGAACGAGCCACCCGTTTCGAAACGAAACGAATTTTATCGAATATATGTTAGTCAGTGTTTCGCGTATCCCTTGCTTGTTCGCGTTTGTTTTCTGCTGGATAAGCTGTTGCAAAATCACGACGAGTATCGTTTGGTGTTGCTCTCGGTAACGGAATTTTATTACGAGGAATTATAAAAATCAACTTGTATACGATATGATTATTTGCGTGATAGGAAACTATCGTGGATCTTTATAAATATCTTAATTTAAAGAGTAATTTTGGACAGTGCAGTAAGTTACAACAGCAGATTTTTTTATTGATAAAAAATTTATTTAATAATATTATATACATGTATCTCGATAGAAACGAATACGAGTATATGTCAAATTGTAGCAGAAAAAAACCGGTCAGATAATGATAACTATGTAAATTACATGTGAGTCAGATAATAGAAATTAGTCCCTTTTAAATGACCACATTTTTGCTTATTAATCATCATAATCATTAATTATTTTATATTTTGTTATAAAATAGTTTTTTAATATAATGACTCTATTTATTGACTTCATAATAATTGTTAAATTGTTGGATAGATTTTATCTAAACCAATGCATTCGATTAAAGATGTTCATCTGTAACGTGACATAATGACGCTGACACGAATAACAAGTTTCGCATATAGGTGCATTTTTGGATCGATAAACATTCATCACAATGCCACAATTTTAAGAGCACTAAAGGATTACGGCTTTTGAATCATTGGATGAAATAAAAAATTAATATTAGTTAAGATAATAAATAATTACTTGCAAACAATCATTTCTCTTTTAATTCTCTCTTATATAAGCTTTAATTTTGTAATTCTTAACCCTAAAATAGACCCTAAAATAGACGCGTGGTAAACATAAATTTTTTTTATCAAATTGTATTATAGAAAAAAATATCATTTACATATTTCATATTTTTAGCACCTTTTAAGAACATATTAATATATAAGCTGTCCCATTTTAAATAATACACTTAATTATTTCAAATCATAAGACAATTTTAGAAAAAAAGTTACAGATAAAAGTTATGTGGTTGCTAAAGAACATGTGGTGATTTAAGATTGAATTTTTCCATCAAGGTTATATCAAGATCAACTTAAATCTAAATCTCTCATTTTCGAAATATTTATTGGGTTATGTAATAAATGATTTCAGATTTTCCAATAGATGATGTTATTGTTTTTTATGCAACATGCTTAAAAATCATGATAAGGGCAAAACTTGATTACAACTTCGACAAACAAATATTTAATTTACATGATAATTAAGCTGAGCGCTTATGTAAAACGCTGAAAATAAGGTGATTTTTGGGAACTTTTTTAAAGAAACAATTCAATGAAACTTTTTGAAACTTTTAGTATATTTTTAAGTACAATTCTAGATATAAAAAAATTTTCCGTTGCAAAATAGTGCATATATTAAAAATTATAAATGCGGTTCTCCAAGGCCTCGGTGTCGGACTTTGCAATTGACGTGTAGCATAGCGCCTGTTGTACTTGTTTGAAACAGAAGTAAAAAATATTTTAGTTTTATTATAAAATTCCGTTATGAACCTATTTGCGAAGTAAAAAATGCAAAATTGAAAAAATAACGGATCTTTGAAAAAAATTACAATTTTTACAAAAAAATTTCGCATTAATTATGCAATAAAAATTATTTAATTTAATAATATCATTAAAGAAATAGGTTTGTCTAGAGGGGAATTTAGTTAGCTATATGTATGCACTGGAGGAAATCGATTGGTTGAATATTTTTTTAGTTATGCTGCACGCAAATGGTTTAGAGAAAAACGCGTTTAAAGATTTGTGTATGGAAAAGTAACTGTTTCCGGCTCTAGTACAGCTCTTTGAGGCTAGTCTGCTATTCCAGGCCCATAGAGTAAACCTACTGCTTCCTCATAAAAGCCTTGCAACTCAACTTGTTGCTGCCTACAAGCTGTTCGAACCTTCTTCGAGCTGCTTTGGCTATTCAGCTCCTACCGCCTCACCCGCTCCACGTCCTGAGTATCGGCGAAATACTTGCATTGCTGTCCGATCTTTATGTCAAGCGTATTCATAATTTTTAATATAATGTAAGAGCCTTCATTTAAAATACCTGCAGCAGTATAAGCGACAATCTAACAATTTTTATGCCGGAATGCAAGTGTTTAGGAGTTAAACGCCATACAATAGAGTTGAAACTCTTATTGGCATTTTGCATGTGCCCGCCTAAACATCTTTCTAGAAGATCTCTCCTCGACAATCCGGCAATAAACTAATAGGAGTAAACATGATGTCTTCGTTACTTGCAGTATTCAATTTTTTTTATTTTGCACTCTGTCCTTGCGGAGTATTTTCTCTATCAGAGAACTGATTGCCATGAAATGTTCTTTTACGCGGCCTGGATTGACGATAAACTTTCTGTTTAGTACCTTTCGGATACATTTTGATGCTCGAAAATTTCCGCACAGGAAGTTCGAAATTCGGAGCACGACTGAAAAGTGAAGCGACGCTCTATGACGTCAACTATATCCATACTTACAAACACGTACACAAAATATACAGACACATTGTATACATAAGCAAATATCTGCCCGGCTCACGGTCAAAGCCTATTGTGTAGAAGGGACCGAGCGGAAAGACGCGTGTTCTCCCGTATACCTGCGTGACACGTAGGTATAAGACTGTCCGTAGTATCGTTAAAATTTCGAATTTCGATCTGGGACTTTGGGAACATATTTCTCAGATGTATTACTAATCATCTATGCAAAAAAAATCGATTTTTCCGATCCGTTACATCAGGATCCCTCCTTAAATTGTGTGTTTAATATCCCGTAGGATCGCGACTTGTGTCACTTGCGTATGTGAACGCTATTTACTTCTCTGGATAAATAAATTGTGTTCTTTTTATTACCATATACTTTATTGCTGCTGTCGCTATACAGTTCTGCGTGAGACTGACTTTGACCCCGCCCTTTCCTTGCGGGGATACATCGAAAACAAAACACTAACGCTCGCTCTACGTTCTAACAAATAAGAATTGAATATAACGCGCGCGCGGGCTATACAAATTTAAAAAACTACACGACATACCGCCGCCCTTGAAAGCGCCAGGTTTCAATATTATAAAAAGAAAAGAAAAATATACATGACAAAAAGAAATACACGTATGATTTCATACAATATAAATCAGACATCTTATGGTTCAATGGGCAAAACGCATAACCGTGTGATGGGTCTTTTATAAATTCCCTTGCTAGTGTGCACAGAAACAACTCGAATAGTATTGTCGTTACTAGGATAGACTTCTTCTATGCGACCCAAACTCCAGCACAAAGGTGGTAGATTGTCCTCCTGTAACATCACCATCTGTCCTATCTTGATGGGTTCGCTTATCATATTCCACTTCGTGCGAATTTGGCACGTGTGAAGGTATTCTCTTGTCCATCGACGCCAAAAGTGTTGTTTTAATTGTTCAACTCGCTGCCATCGTGACAGTTTGTTGGTTGGTAATTCCATGAGATTGGGTTCTGGGTACGTCATAAGCGGACATCCTGTCAGAAAATGTGCCGGAGTAAGCACTTCAAAATCGTTGGGGTCGTTTGACAGAGGCGTGAGTGGCCTCGAATTTAGTATAGCTTCAACTTGTACTAATAATGTGAGTAGCTCTTCATATCTTATTGATGCTTCACCGATGATACGTCTTAAATGAAACTTCGTACTCTTCACTGCTGCCTCCCAAATGCCGCCCATGTGCGGAGCTCTGGGTGGTATAAAGTGCCATCTTATTTTTTCTGTTGTCACAAAGTCAATAATTTTTGTTTTGCAAAGATCGTCATTAAATAACTCATACAATTCATTGAACTGACGTCTTGCTCCGACGAAATTCAAGCCATTGTCGGAGTACATATCAGTGGGACGCCCTCTTCTGGAGATGAATCGCTTGAATACATTTAAATAAGCTTCTGTGGAAAGATCAGCAGCTAATTCTATGTGAACTGCCTTAGTGGCGAGGCAGACGAATAATGCTATATAACACTTTATGAGCTTGGCATTCTTTCGTTGACCTTCCTTATATTCAAAGGGTCCTGCATAATCAACGCCGCATTTTTGAAACGCATATTTTACTTTGTTCACGCGTGCTTCTGGTAAGTCTGCCATCAATGTTGTACTTAGCTTAGGAACATTGCGCACGCATACAATACACTTTCTTATTAGATTACGAATAATATTCCGGGCTGACGTAGGCCAATAATTTTGGCGCACAGCCGCTAACGTGGCTTGCATTCCTGAATGCAAATGTCACTCATGTTCATAGGTAACAATTAGTCGAGTAAAAGCATGCTTACCCGGTAACAGAATCGGATGCTTACATTCATAGGAGATATCGGCGTGACTTAATCGACCTCCAACTCTTAAAATGCCATGCGAATCGATAAAAGGATTTAATTTTAAGATATTACTATTTTTACTTACGCGCTCACTATTCTTTATATCATATAATTCTGTTCTAAAGGCATCGCGCTGTACAATCTTTACCAGTGCTAGTCTGGATTGTTCCAATTCTTCAGTCGTTAGAGCTTGAATCGTATCGACCCCTTTCGCGTCGTTGGACTGCAAAGCCTTCGTTTTTAACTTACAATTTTTACTAAATCTAAAGCAGAAAGCAATAACGCGAATAAGCTTAATATATTTGGAGAACGATCAAAACATCATGCAATGATTTAGTTTTTATTTTGGCTGTCAAAACTGTAGCTCTTCCCTCTGGCAGTTGCACGTCCGATGCATGAAAACTCTCAGAAGGCCATTCATCCTTGTCTAATTTTATCCAAGATGGACCATGCCACCAAATTTCTTAATTGTGCAGTAGATCGGGCATAACACCCCTGGAGAGTAAATCCGTAGGGTTATCCTGGCTAGGTACATGTTTCCAGTCATCTACATTTGTAAGTCGTTGTATTTCAGCGATACGATTCGCGACAAACGGCGTCCATTGTCGACTACACGATCTTAGCCAACACAATACAATTTGCGAGTCTGTCCAAAGATGGATAAAATCAACTTTGAAAGGCAAAGAGTCTAATACCTTTTTGTAAGTTGAGCCAGCAACAATGCTCCACAAAGCTCAAGACGCGGTATTGATAGTGCCTTAAGACAGCGCTCGGAATTAGTTGCACATTTCGGGCCAATTCAAGAGACAACGCCTCCTGTTCCCCCACTACCGCCCGGCCGCTGGCGGTCGAGCCGCCGATAGCTCTGACGCAGGAGCGTTTTATAATAAAAATAGGCTCGGTTGTTGAGGCATCTCTACAAAAATAGTAATATTTTCTTTGCTACATAAATAATGTTTATTTCATTAATAATTAAATATATATATTATGTATTAAT